GTACGCTCTCCTGGCTTGGGCAGGACGGCATACCTACACCGATCCTGGGCCCAGGGTCGGCCTGGGCAGGACCCGTGTGCGTGCACGCTCGGTGCCCTCCGAACCTTGGACCAGTCCATGTCTGTCGGGTGCCCCGCGGCAGCGTCCCAGGTCGGGTGCCGGAGCTTGATGACCTGACCGAAGAAATCCTTGAAGGTCTCGTAGCAGAGCTCGTCGCCGGCCACCGCGCCCATGGTCCTGATCATCGGGTGGCCGCTGTTCTCCAGGCAAGACCTGATGCAGGTCAGGAACGACACGCCCATGGCCGTCTTCTGCGCCCGCAGCCTCTGGTAGATGCCCGGATCAGCCCTCAGCACCTCCGCGGCCATGCTGTGCTTGCCCGCGAGGTCTGGCAGCCCCTCCGCGCAGCTTTCGGCCGCGGGGCCCGCTCCTTCGGCGGGGGCCGGCCTTGGCTTCGGCGGGCCCTCGCCGAGCACCTCGGAGGGGTCCTCCCCGGCCTCCAGCCTCGCCTCCAGGGCCGTGAGCTCCCTGCAGCCGTTGATCAGGGAGTTCACCTGGCCAACCTCCGAGCAGCCCAAGCGCTGGTGGTTGGACAGCTCCCAGAGCCCCCCAGTGTCGGCCCCCCGGCCAGCGGTGCCTCCCAGCGCGGGCTGTCTCGGGCGTGCCTGGAGTCGCAGGCCCTTGCACCGCGCCTTGAACTCCTTGCCTTGGGCGCCGAGCAGTGGGATCCTGAGCGTGACGCTGACGTGCAGGGCCGTCCCGATGTTCGAGGGGCACGAGTTGAGGAAGCCGAGACGGCCGTCGCAGGCGAAGCCGGAGCCACTCGACTCCAGCGACGCGCCGACCGACTGCTCGACGGAGACGAACCGCTCGAATGCCCGCTTCAGGTCCCCGCCAGGCTGCCGGACAAAGATCTTGAGGTGGTCGACCTCGTTGACCCAGGCAAAGAAGTCCTTCTCCTTGCCGACGAAGACTCCGCGGCCGGCGGGCCAACAGCGCCCGTAGCCAGCCGAGAGCATGATCGCAGAGTCGGGCTCCTCGAACAGCATCCCAGAGGCGCGCAAGTCGTGCTGGTCGTCATCCTGCATGCCTCCAGGCTCTGGCGTCCACGAGCCCGAGTCTTGCAGGGGGTGGTACACTCCTTCGAGTCGGCCGCCCAGAGTGGTCAGCGCGCCAGACAGCAAGCGCTCTGCCTCGCAGAGCTCTTCCAGCGACGCGGCCGTGGGCATCCGCAGACCGCCCGAGAGGCTGCGGCTGCCGTGCACCTGCACCGACACCACCCGCGAGCCGGCGGCGTCCAGCGGCAGGTCGCTGACTCCCGAGGCGTCCAGCTCGGGCGTGTGCTGCGAACCCTGGGAGAAACTGGCGTGCAGCTGGCAGATGACCGGGTCAAACACGTCCTCAGGAGAAGGAAAAACGCCATCAGAAAAAACTTGTGGCGATCCGCGCGGATTCCTTGGACCTCCGCTGGACCCCCCTCCCTGGCGCGGCGCCGGAGGCGCCGGCGGGGGGGGCCCAGCCGCGCGGATCCAAGACCTCCGCGCGGAGCGCCAGAAGTTCGTGGCCGTGGCGTTCCCGCCTGCCGTGTCCTTGAACACGCCGTAGCAGGACGCGTCCCCGGCCACGAGGCCCACGGTCCGCACCATGGGGTGGCCCTTGCCGTCCACGCCGGGCTTGATGCACCTGGCGAGGGCCACGCCCGCGCCCGAGCGCACGGCCTGCAGCCGCGCGTAGGCCGCCGGCTCCGCCTGGAGCACGGCCGCCAGCAGGCTGTGGTGGCCCGACAGGTCGGGCAGGCACGCCGATCCTGGATGCGGCAGGAGCCGGGGCCCCCCTCGAGCCATGGAAGAGATCACGACGGGAAGTTCCTCGCCCTTCTCGGCCTCTGGGGGGCCCTATAGAGCGGGCCTCGGGGCCGTGAACGAAACGACTCGGGATGAAGCACCGGTCCCGGGGAATGGGTCCAGACCTCTGGGGGTCCACGTGATAAACAAAATCTCGGCGTCGGGGGTCTGAGAACGGTACGAGCAGAAACTGTCGGAGCCCCGCGCGGATTTTTCAGATCGGCGCCGGGCCCCCAGCGCGCGCAGCGCGCCAAGGAGCGCAGCGCCCCTCCAGGGCAGATCCGCGCGGACCTCCTCGACAGCTTATATGCTCATGTGGATCAAAGAAACGAGCGACACCACCCCACCTACGGCCCCACAGGGCAGAGCGCCCCCGACGGGATGTAGCGCAACACTGAGGGCCGTAGGTGGGGTGGTGTCGTTTGCTTTTTGGGTTATCATGCAGCTTCTTCTTCTTCTTCTTCTTTTTCTTCTTCTGCGAGCTCCGTCTGAGGGGAAGCCCTCCTCGAGCTGCTCGGCGGCCTCGCCGAAGGGCGGCGCGCTGCCCGCGCCGGCAGGCGGCGGCGGCGCCGCCGCCGTGACCTCGGCGGCAGCGGGTGGCTCGGCGCCGGCGCGCTCAGAGGCCAGCCCCTGCAAATAGGAGAGCATGAAGCCGAGGACGTCGCTGGGCTGCTCGGACAGGAGCTTCTGCACCATGGCCTCGCGCGCGGCGGCACACACTTTCGGCGGTGGACAAACTTCCCTTTAGTAAACCTCCCCTTAGTGACAACGGCCTGGGACCGAAACCGACGGACCTGGACCCGCAAAAATGACGGCCGCGACGCCCTCTCGCGAACCGAAAACCGCCAATTCCTTAATCGACGTGTCAGGGTAGGAGGTCTATCAACCTCCGACATTTCCGTAGCCGTGCCCTCGCGGTCTGCGGACTCCGGGGCGAGACCCCGCGAGTGGAACGCAGTCGCACGGGCCCGCTCCGCGCTGGGGCATCCGCGGCAAAAGCTCCCCCGTCTCCGCGGGGTCGCGGCCCAGTGGCCCGGCAGGCGAGGCCGCAGAGACGGATCTGCTCTCCGCCCACGGCCTGCAGGATACCCTGCACGCCGCAGCTGTCGAGGTAGCCCTTGGCCTGCAGCGCCGCCTGGTGCCTCGACATCCTCTTCGGACTCTTCTTCTGGCCGTCGTCGGCGGCGGCGTCGCCGACCCGCACCTCTGAAGGCCCCAGGGACACACAAATGAATAACACAAATCCAAGGGTTCCCAATCTGTTTGGCGTATCTTCTAGGCTTTCGTCTTCCACCCCACATCTCATATATGCCCATCTGTTCCTGGGGATCGACGTTGATTCGTGTGTGTGTGTGATTTTCCCCTCCTGAACCTCCAGGTCCAAGCTGATGGGGGACCCGCCCCTACTGGAAAGCTGGAGGACGCCCTGCATGGCTGTCCCGCCGACGCCGGTGCCCTGCAGGTCGCTCAGGCCCACATCCCGGGAGCCCACCTTGTGAATGTCCTTTTATTCGGCGTTCCGACATTTGGCGGGAGGGAGGAGAGTGAGGGGGGTCTGGCTCCGGACCTCTGCCTAATGCGTCTGTTTGCAACAGTGCGCCCCAAGGGGGAGACTCCACCCGCTCGAAACAGGCGCCAAAAAACAGCCAAGATCTACTCCATGAAGCGAGAGGGAGGGGGGGTGCTAGGGCCCGAGCCGATCGGCAAAACAAAGAATAAAAGAAGGTCACCTTCTCGAACACGTCCACCACGAAGTGCTTGGGGGCCGCCTTCAGGCCAAAGGCCACGCCCGGCTTGTACTGCGCCAGCTTCCGCACGTCCCCAGCGCGGACGGACAGGTACGCCTCGCCCGGCGGGAGAGCCCGCCGCACACCCCACGCCATGACATGTTCACGGCGTGCCTCCCCGGAGGTCTGGAGACCCCTTCCCCCGGGACCCGCTTCTCTCAACCCGAGTCGTTTTGTTGGCGGTCCCGGGGCACGCCCAACCCTCCCCGAGGAGCCCCTCAGAGGCCCCCCGTTCCGTTTCCGGCGAGGTCCAGGAAACCTGGCGAATCTGGCGACGAATTCCAATGCAGCGCCCTACGCTGGGGGCCCCCGGAAGCCGAAAGCGGGCAAGCGATCACGATCAGATGCCTGTTGGCCGTTGCAACTTTTTCCTGGGCAGCGGTCGCTACCCGGGTACCCAGATACCCGGCGCCGTGACTTTTTCACAGCGTCGACCCCCAGAAGTCTGGACCCCTTCCCTGGGACCGGTTCTTCATCCTGAATCGTTTTTTGACGGTCCCGAGGCCTGGCGAGGGCCCCCAAAGTCAGAAAATAACGAAACACGTCCCGCCGTGATGGCGGAGGAAGAGGCGGGTGGAGGGGGTGGCGGAGGGCAGGCGCGCCTTGTCCGGGAGGCCGTCGGCACCCACCACCGTGATGTCCATCGCGGGGCCGCGCAGCGGGAAGGCGCCCCGAGGATGGGGGCCGGGGCAGACGAGGCCGGAAGATCGCACCGCATCCCCAGACCCTCTCGACTGATGGAAAAACGCGACGGGGGGTTTTCCCGATTGTCAGCCCGTGGGGGCCCTACCGAGCCTCGGGACCGTCAACAAAAACTACTCAGGATGAAAGACCAGCCCCTGGGAATGGGTCCAGGCCTTTGGGGATCGACGTACTGAACCAAATCCGCCGACCCCTTGGGGTTCATCGGCGTGTGAGATCTTCCCCCTCCCCCAACCCCATCCCGGGAACCCGGGTCCGGCCAAATTCCCCGATTCCCCCGATTCCCCCGATTCCCCCGATCCCCCCGATTCCCCCGATTCCCCCCGGGGGGGGTCCTCCGCTCCCGAAAATCCTGCAAGGACTCCTCCGGTGGCCTCGAATGGCCCCGGGACGCGAAACGAGCGCTCCAAAACGCCCAAGGTGGCCCAAAGACGGGCTACGAGGCCTCCTAGACGGCACAAGAGGTCCCCACGAGGCCCCAAGAGGCCTCCAAGATACGTCCCAAGAGGGCCCCTAGACGCAACAATTTGCCCATTCCCTCGGTTCAACGTACATTTTTCACAAGTTCGCCTTCTGGGTTTTCCGATGCTCCCAGACGGCCCAAGAGGCCCCCAAGACCGCCCCAAGACGGCCCAAGAAGTCTCCAAGAGGGTCCCAAAATAGCCCAAGAGGGCCCCAAGACGGGCCAACAGGCGTCCAAGACGGGCCAAGAGGGCCCCGAAAACGGCCCCAAGAGCGCTCCAGGAGTGCTCCGAGCGGCCTCCAAGAGAGCTCAATATGGTTCCAGACGGTCCAAGAGCGATCAAAGATACCGAAGACGGCCTCCAGACGGCCCAAGATGCCCCCAAGAGGCCCCAAGAGGCATCCAAGATGCGCCCCAAGAGGGCCTCTAGACGCAAAGCGTTGGCCCGTTCCCATCGTAAAACGTATAGTTTTCACAAATTCCCCTCGTGGGTTTTCCGACGCTCCAAGGCGGCCCAAGAGGCCCCGAAGACCGCCCCAAGACGGCCCAAGAGGCCCCCAAGACGGCCCCACGACGGCCCAAGATGGCCCCAAGACGGCCCAAGAGGTCCCCAAGACGGCCCAAGAAGGCTCCAAGACGGCCCCAAGAGCGTTCCAGGAGCGCTCCAAGTGGCTTCCCAGAGAGCTCAACATGGTCCCTCACGGTCCAAGAGCGATCGAAGAAACACGAGATGGCCTCCAGCTGGCCCAAGACGCCCCCAAGGGGCCTCCAAGGTGCGTCCCAAGAGGATCCCTAGACGCAGAAAAATGCGTTTTTTTTTCCTTCGTAAAACGTATAGTTTTCACAAATTCCCCTCGTGGGTTTTCCGACGCTCCAAGGCGGCCCAAAAGGCCCCGAAGACCGCCCCAAGACGGCCCAAGAGGCCCCCAAGACGGCCCCACGACGGCCCAAGATGGCCCCAAAACGGCCCAAGAGGTCCCCAAGACGGCCCAAGAAGGCTCCAAGACGGCACCAAGAGGGGCCCAATAGGGCAACCAACAACTCAAAAATCTAGCTTTCCGCCCCCACGAGCCCCAGGGGGCCCCAAGAGTGCCCCAAGAGGCCGCCAGAGGCCCCCAAGAGGCCGCCAAGACGCCCCAAGGAGCCCCCAAGAGGCCCCCAGGAGGCCTCCAAAAGACCCCCAGAGGCTTCCGCATTGCGAGCCGTCAAGCCAACTGCAATGCACTCCGCGCATGCAGCCTTGCTCTTCCTCGCGACGTGCTCACAATCTTGCTCGGCGCTAATGTGCTGCTGCTGCGCGAACTGTTTCGTGCGCGCTGCGAACGTCAACAGCCTCTTCACCCGTTTCGACTCATCTGCCACATCTTTCGCGGTGATGCTTCGCTGATCACAGCTTCCGCACGCTACTCTTGCTCCTTTAGTCTTCCAGTGCTCCTCCACTTCGTTGAAGGTCGAAAGGCCGACCTCCCAGAAGGACACCCCGCACCCGGGCGCACAGCACGCAAGGCGCTCGCAAAACACGCCCCAGACCACCGGCATCACGCAAACATTTGGACCCCTACGTATCTGCCACCACCCGCGCGCGACACCGCACCCTCACACAAGACGCCGCTGGCCAGAAACGCCTGGCCTCGCAACAGTCACAGAAGGGATCGGCGGATGTGGCGTAAGCCTGTAGAATCATGACGTCGAGGGTCTGGGCATCGCCGATGCATCCCCAGCCATGCTCGCGCCGTGAACACATCGCGACGGGAAATCCTTAGCCTTTTCCAGCATGGGGGCCCTCGCCAGGCCCTGGCACCGCCAAGAAACAATACTGTTTCTGGGCGGTACCGGCCCTAGCTCGGGATGAACAACCGGTCCAGAGGAAAGGAGGGCCGGGACTTCCAGGGACCGCGTGCTGAACAAAGTCGAGACATCGGATGTCTGGGTCGACGACGTCGGGATGGAGAAACTTGGGCACTCTGGATCCCAGATCCCCGACGTCATGAATTGCTCATGACGTGGATCCCCAACGGTCTGGACTCATCCCCCACGACAGGTTTTTCATCGGGAGTCGTTTATTGAAGGTCCCGAGGCCCACCAGGGGCCCTCAGAGGCTGAAAATAGCCAAAAACCTCCCGTCGCAATTCTGTCATGACCCGAGGGGGTCTTGGGCCGGCGACGTCGGGATGGAGAAACTTAGGCACCCTGGATCGCTCCGCGCATCGCCGATGCCGGAGAGCACACAGCGATGCACCTGCGCCGGTCCTGGTCAGGCCGACCCTGGGCCCAGCATCGGCGTGTGTGTGTGTGTGTGTGGGTGTTGTGTGTGTGTGTGTGTGTCTGTCTGTGTGTGTTGTGTGTAGTTAACGTGTGAATGTGCCTGTGCGCGTGTGTGTGTGCGTGTGTGTGTGTGTGTGTGTGTGTGTGTGCGTTGTGTATTGTGTGTTGTGAAACTGTGCGCGTGTGCACGTGTGCCGACCGGCCAAATGTCCGCGACGCTGAAAGTGTGCGTGCGTGTGCGTGCGTGCGCTGGTGTGTGTGTGGGTGCGTGTGCGTGTGCGTGTGCGTGTGCGTGTGCGTGTGCGTGTGCGTGTGCGTGTGCGTGTGCGTGTGCGTTTGCGTGTGCGTGCATGTGCGTGCGTGCGTGCGTGCGTGTGTGTGTGTGTGTGTGTGTGCGCGTGCGCGTGTGCGTGTGCGTGTGCGTGTGTGTGTGTGCGTG